TGTATTCCCATGTTTATTGTACATCAATTCACAATAGCTAACATATGGAATCAACCCAGATGTCCATAACTGATGACTGGATACAGAAACTGTGGTATACATACACCATGTAATACTACTTAAGCCTTAAAAAAGAACCTGGTCTTTTGCAACAAAATGGATGCAAATGCAAAGCATTATGCATAGTAAAATAAGCCAGTCCCAATAAAGACAAATACCATATGATTGTCCTGATCTGTGGTAACTAGTAGAGTACCACAAATGTAATATATAGGAGTTAAACTGACATTCTGAGACTCCATGATTCTTTACATCCCTTGTCTTGACGGCAGAGGAACAATGTTTTTTTCTTATTATTTCCTGAACTTTTACTAAGTATAGGGTTCATCTTATGAATGTAAAGTAAACTGAAAAGAGATCATTGTAAAAATTAATGGAGGGTCTAGGAGAGGAAGGATGAGGAAGGGTAGGATCACTGGAGGAAGGACAGTACAGTGGGAAGTATCACGATGTTGCTAAATCTGAATATATGAAGTACATCCCGGTTGCCCCTCTTCCAGGACAGCTCTCTGCTGTGGCCAGGGAGTGCAGTGGAGGATGGCCGAAGTCCTTGGGCCCTGCACCCCATGGGAGACCAGGAGAAGTACCTGGCTCCTGCCATCGGATCAGCACGGTGCGCCGGCCGTAGCGCGCCGACCACAGCGGCCATTGGAGGGTGAACCAACGGCAAAAGGAAGACCTCTCTCTCTGTCTCTCTCTCTCACTGTCCACTCTGCCTGTCAAAAAAAAATTAATTAAAATAAATATAATTTAAATATTTTTATTCCTTCCAAATGCTGAAAGAAAGAACATTTTTTATTTATTTAAGCTATACAAGTTTATATATTTTATATATAGATTTAGGAACACAATTATACTTACCTCCCTTACCTCCCTCCTGCCCATGCTACAAATGTAATGTACTGGAGTGAAAAGGACATTGTGAGGTTTGATGATAGTTTACAGCCTTTGTCTCTACTGCTGAGGAAGTGTTTTTTTTTTTCATGCTATTTATGTGTATTTTGTATATGGTTTATCTTATGAGTATAAAGTATACTGAAAATATTCTTTGTAAAAATAAAGAATAAGGGTAGGAGAGGGAGGAGGAGAAAAACCTTTCAATTGCCAAAACTGCACCAGGAAGTTTTCCATCAGAAATGAGAGAGAATAGGACTTTCAAACAAAACTAAGAGTTCATCATCATAAGAACTATCTTATAAGAAATGCTAAAACAGCATACTTCAAGTTGAGGCAAAAGAATCCTAATTAACAACATAAGATATTTGAAAGAATATAATACTGTAAAGAAAAAAATATAGTCAAATCCAGAATCGTTTTCTAATGTTTCTAATGTGTGTAAACACATTAAACTGTAGCATAAAAGTTAAAATATTAAAAATATGTTACCTACAATAATTTGTTGATACACAAAATAATAAAAAGGGTTAGTATGACATCAATAAAGTGAACTGTGGAAGAACAAAAAGTTAAGGTGTAAAGTTACTGAATACAATCAATATTAAATTATCATATTTAAATAAACTGTATAACTGTAAAATGTTTTACTTAAGCCCCATACAGAAGATCAACTCAAAAATATTAAACATGTAAGACCTGAAGCTATAAAATTTCTAGAAGAAATACAGGTAAAAAGCTTCCTGATTTAATCTGTACAGGCAACAAAAGAAAAAAGACAAATGGGATTGCTTCAAACTATTGTTTTTACACAGCAAATGAAACAATTCACAGTATGACGAGACAACCTAAGTTACAGAAAAGTATTTGTAAACCAGATATGATAAGGTGTTAACATCCAAAATGTACAAAATTCAAACAAATCAACAGTAATATTAGATAGATAGATTCAATTATAACAAATGGCCAAAAGACCAGAACAAATGTTTTCCAAAGAAGACTGAAAAATTCCCAACAAGTTTATGAAAAAATGCTCAATACCACTAAACATCAGGGAAGTACAAATCAAAATCACAAAGATACATCATCTCACATCATTTAAGATAGCTATTATCAAAAAGCAAGATGTTAAGTGTTGGTGAGATGGTGCAGAAAAGGGAAACTTTATACACTGTTGGTGGAAATGTGAATTGGTGCAACCATAATGGAGAATGTATTCAAGGCACCTCAAAAAATTAAAAGTATAACTACCATATGAAATAGTAATTCTCCTTGTGGGTGCATACCAAAAAACATCCAATCAATATCTTCAAGTAATATTTGCATAGTTGCACTTCCATGATCACTGTAGAATTATTCACTGTATCCAGGATGTAGAATGAACCTAAGGGCTTGCTTTAAGACAAATTTATAAAGACAAGGTGATGTGTGTGTTTGATGGAGTTTGTATGGCGTGCTTAACTAAGCCTCTTATTCTAGAGCACAGGCACAGACTTATATATCCATGGATACCAGAAAAATAATTGAAAACTGGCAAACAGCCTTAAAGCTTTCATGTACATTAGAAAATTTTTACAATGCCACAGAACATGTATTCTTGAAATACATAAAATATACTGATTTGATGTTCCATTCCAGAAGAGATATGGGTATAGAGATATATTTCCCTATTGTTATAAGGAAAATCCATGGTATAAGCATGTTAAAAAGTGAGAACTGACTTTAAGCATCAATGTTCAGAAGAAGAGCACCACTGGAAAAGCCATGGTGAGGTAAAAAAAATCAAGTTCTTTCTAAAAAGACAACTGCACTTGATTATTGCCTTCTTGGAATCTGAGTTGGGTTCCCAGACCTATTTTCTAAGAGAGGTCAACTATCTGGATTAACATAAAATATTCTGATTTTAAGAACAGATTTAATTTGAAAAATATAGTAAGACAAATACAAGAGATCTAGAAACCATAGATAGCTTATGGACTGACACTTCGAGGCCAGGGACATATTTCACCCAGAAAACCACTAAATTTAGCTGTAACAAGTGCCCACTTAATTCTTTTGTTGTTTTGTTTTCTGTGGGACGTAGTGAATTTTTGCTCAAAAGCTCTCAGTTTCTAGAATCTATGGACATTAAACAGACTCTTGCTAGACAGATACAACAGAATTAGTTACATTGTGCTGTCCTTGTTACCTTTCAGTCAGGGGTTGGCCATTTATGTTTGCAATGTATCATACAGTTATTACTCCTTCTTGGACAGTACCTCTTATTTTTGTAGGTGATTCTCTCCAAAAATGCAACTTCCTCTACTTTCCTTCATTAGCAACACATTTTTAACTCATTGTGTAAGGTTTTGATTCCTCCATCAGTGGCTACTCTGAATCATTGAATGTTGTATGTAAAATCTAACTGACCTTGGCTCACAGAAATTATACTAATTCCCAGCCTAACTATGCTTGCTCCAAGGATCTAGCTTTATTAATTTCTCAAGAATTGCTCCAACTATCCATTCTAAATTTTTCACAGATAGTCTTATTATGTTGACAAAGTACAGAACTGGATTTTAAAGGGAAAGTAATGAGTTTATCTTATCCCTAGTTCACTGGCAGAATATTTTCAATTTTACTTATTTCCATGGCTAAAGTATTATTTGGTCATGCTGATGGCTACATAGGGTTCACCCATTATTTCTTATTCTTTCTCTGATCTATATATGCTCTCCCAGTTTTCCTGAATCTTTCCTGCCCTCAAAACTTACAGATGGGTTTAGATGGTAACTGATAATAAGTACTGTAGGGAATGAAATGATAATTTTTCCTAGGCTGATTTTGACTCTAAAAGGCAAACAACTTAATTAGAGAGTTGACTAAATATAATTTATATTGTCGTTATTCAATTTACATCATCATTCAATTAGAACAAAATCAGCCCATGAATAATCTATGGCACAAAATTATTTTTATTCAGGATTGTAGAGAGACTTAGGCATGGAGATCACCATTTTTTACAAGGCCCATGTTGACTCAGCTAAATTTTCCCATAGTATCTGTTTGTTCTACTTTCTGCATTGAACCCTAACTCACCCTGGTGTGTTCTAACTTAATATTTAGTTCCGAAAGTTCACAACTTGGCAAACAGTTTTCTACAAGAAAGCAAAAATTAAGTTTAGGATCAGTTAGGAAAAGTAACAGACTTCATTTCATGGTTTGTGAATCCAATCAACTCTCAAAACTTAGAAGGTTGATTAGCTAACATATGGATTATCAAGACTTCCTTTGTTTTCTGCCTCTTTGACTATTCAATTGTCTTCACTGAATTTCTACCAGAATAGAACAAAGTAAAGAAAAGTTCAAAATAAAGCAAACAAAGCTCTGGAAATGCAGAACATAATAGATCAATTCTGTGCCTCTCCAACTTGTTATGATAATGCTGATCAAAAACAAGTCTCTCTCTCTCTCTCTCTCATCTCTTGCTCTATCACTCTCTCCCACTCTCACTCTCTGCTTCTGTCTCATACACACACCTCAAAATAGAAAGTAGATAAAAACTAGTTAGGAATGGTGAAATCATTTATTGAGTGAAAAGGTTTTTTGAGTTGTCAATTTCAAATAAGTACCATAGTTTACCATTAACCACGGAAATTCTGGATTCCTCATGGGCATATTATTTAAGACGTTAACAATGTTCTGAACAACTGAGAAAAATGACATAAAATGAAATGAGGATTATAAATTTCAACTGACTCAAGGGGCAAAATGAATTGTCATTCAAATGAGCCACTAGAGTTTCACTCCTAATTCTTTCAACTTTAAACATTAAGCTGAGTAAGGAAAGCCTGGTAATTTTTTCAGTGCTTTCCCTCAAACTCTCCTCTGCAAACCTTGAATTGTTTTCTGTAAATTGGTTGGAGGTACACGCTTTGGAGAATTACTTTTTTAGATCCAATTAAAGTATATCCTACTAGCATCCTAAAAAGTTCAGATTCAGTAACTGTGTCCCACATTGGTGACATTTCTCAGTATTTTAAAAACAACAGGATAAAAGTGAGTACCTCTCAGTAACTGCCACTGGGTAACTAAAAAAAAAAAAAAAAGATAAAGGTTATTTCATGTTTTTCATAAAAAATATTTTGTGAGTTTAAAAAATACCACAAATGTATGGTTTTTAGGTGTTAATACATCTTAAAATTAAGTACACCTTATCTAAAAATGCGTAAGTCTATCATCTTTATCTCTTTCATCTAGACACATCTTTACACCATAATGTTTGTTTAAAATCACGAAACAGGGAAATCTGTAGCAGGAATATAACAAATAATTTATGCATCATATGTGTGTTCCTTGTAATTCAATCAACTCACTCAACAAATATTTATTAAGTTAAACCCTAAATGTAGATTCTGTAGATGATTCAGTTTGTATCCTAAATTTATTTGGTTTCATTTTATTTAAAGGAAGATTGTAACTAAATAACTGTGGAAGTGTCCAGACTCTTGAATCCTATTTGTCTATCATACACACACAACTGCCATATTTTTGGTAAGTTTGGTCATTTCATTTTCAAAGTCCAAATTTATTTCTGCAAGTAATTTATTATTTCTAAGCTTATCTTACTGTTGCTCCGTTTTCATTTTGACTGCCCTATCCCAGTTCAGAACCACACCATCTCAGACATATATACATAAAGTCACTCCAAACTACATTTCATGCCTTAAGATCTCCTCTTTCAATTGATTCGAATTATGTTTAGCTGTATCTGGTTCTAATTACCCATATTCTCCTGGACTTCCAAACTCAGCCTCTGCTATACCCGAGGCAAATATGCCTGAAGCAAGAAATAGATTCGCAGTCTTCCTGGAGAATAATGAGGTGAGTACTACTCAGTCAAATGCTTGACCATCACTTTGAAATGACCTATTAGCCCTCTATTGCTGATAAACTATTGATTCTTGTTGTTGAAGATTCATACTTTTATAATTTTCTTCTCCACTTTCCCAGTGACAATAAAATTCCCTTGTGAACTTAATTTTATCTACATTTAATGCCTGAAGCCCACAAATGTTCCTTTCACCCAAACTTTTAAGTAGAAATAATTTCAGTAAATACATGACATTATATAGAATTATACATGACATTTATTATAACTATCATGTAAAAAAATAATCATTTTGGACAAAAGTGACAGATTTAAAGTAGATTAACGTGAATCTTCCTGACCTAATTATTTCCATTTGTCTCTTTAACTTCACATTGAACAGAACTGTCTGTTAAATAACCATGGGATCTCATTCTGAACTGGTTTAGACTAATTACCTGGGATGAAGGGATGTCCTCCTTTTAAACTCAGCACCTGAAAGGAGTAGAAGACTCCAGGATCCCAAATTTCTAGGCAACTGGTTTTCTAAAATTCAATTGAATGCCCGGAACTAAAGTCCAAGTTGCCTATTTCTTCCTATGCAAGGCTGCGCTCACATCCCCTGATGTCATTTAAAATGAATTATTCAAGTAATGAAGAATGAATAACAGATAGTACTGCAATATACTTGAGGGACTCCTATTATAAATTGGCTTTTGAAAGATTAGCCATCAGACTTCCTACCTGTAGCAGAGACTGAAACTCAGTTTTCACACTTGCAAAGTGTCTCATGCTTGGGTTATTTTATAAGAGAAGCTGGAGGAAAGGAAATCACAGGGATGTGATATTTGCTTAAATTATCCCTACAACGCTCTGTAGTGAAGTTACTGGGACAGTAGGGATTTATGAGGTTCAAAACAGAAGTATGCTTTTCATAAAACTGAGAAGGGGTTATGCTGGAAGTGAATTCTGTTAAGGTTCAAGAGTAGGATCAGGCACATCCATGTAACATAGGCACATAGAGTATCTCACTAGAAATAATTAAGAAACCCACAAATCATTTTCCTGATATAATCCCATCCACAGATTGGACCAAACATTTAGATTTCTTTCCTAGGAGTTTGAATTCTGAAACTCAGACCTTGGTTAGTAAATCCTATCAAGACATTGGCCAAGTACAGACCAGCTGAGGAAGAGGGAGAGGGAGGAGAATGATGGGGAAGGGAAGAGAGAAAGCAGGAGGAGGAGGAGGGAGAAGGAGGGGGAGGAGGAGAAATTTAAGTGAAGGTCCAGGAAATCGAATTTCTTGGCATCCAGAGCTACCCTAGTTTTGGCTTTCTAAAGCCTAGCTTTTCAGCATTTATGGAATTCTATGAGATTTTTGTTTGCCTTTGTTGAATAAGCTGATTTGGTATCTGTTCCTGATCAGTCCCCCATCTTTATATATCTCCCTCTTTCTATAACTCTGCCTTTCAAATAAATACATAAATACAGAGAAAGAGAGAGAGATTCCATAAATTTCCTTAGCAATGAGTATCTGTGATAAGTAGTTAACTTATCATATTTTATTTTTAAAGTCAGGGAGCTGTCTAGCACTTATATAAAGATTTCTTTCAGTCTTGTAATTCTATGGATTTAACAATCTTGGCAAAGCCCTGTGAGGTCTCCATTGTTTTGAGATTTGGTAGCAATTACTTCATTCTCTATTTCTCTATTTCTATACTTATACATATTTTGTATGTAGTATAAGAAATAGAGAATGAAGTAATTGCTACCAAAACACACAAATTAAGCCAGCAATGTATTATAAACAAGCTGTACTCTAAAACAGGGAGCCAGATAAAAACATTTGGGATATACTTATGCTAAAAAAGTTTATTTAATGTTATTAAAATTCTAAATCTGATTAGTGCTTCCTGTCTAGTTACCAAGACCTACTTGCCATATTTCTCACTTTTCCATCAAAGATTTCATTAGTCAATACATTTTTACACTCTCATCTGTCCTGAATCAATGCTTACTTAAGAACCTCAGATCACCAATCCCATCATTATGTTTTCTTCATTCTCTCCAAAATGTTTAACATTTACAAATATAGCACTTATTTTTCTCCTCAGATGAATTGCACACATTCTATGTCTCCAGTGGTTTCATTATCACAATTTTCTTTTTTTTCTTTTTCTTTTTGCAAATTAGTTATATATTTTCCCTGCTATCTTTCTTTTTTTATTATAAACACTTTTATTTAGTAAATATAATTTTCCAAAGTACAGTTTATGGATTACAGTGGCTTCCCCCCCATAACTTCTCTCCCACCTGCACCCCTCCCATCTCCCATTCCCTCTCCCATTCCATTCACATCAAGATTCATTTTCTTTTTTTTTTATTTTTATTATTATTTATTTATTTTTTTGACAGGCAGAGTGGACAGTGAGAGGGAGAGAAACAGAGAGAGAGGTCTTCCTTTTGCCATTGGTTCACCCTCCAATGGCCGCCGTGGCCGGCTCGCTGGGGCCAGCGCACCGCGCTGATCCAATGACAGGAGCCAGGTACTTATCCTGGTCTCCCATGGGGTGCAGGGCCCAAGCACTTGGGCCATCCTCCACTGCACTCCCTGGCCACAGCAGAGAGCTGGCCTGGAAGAGGGGCAACCGTGACAGAATCCGGCGCCCCGACTGGGACTAGAACCCGGTGTGCCGGTGCCGCAAGGCGGAGGGTTAGCCTTAGTGAGCCGCGGCGCCAGCCAAGATTCATTTTCAATTAATGGTTACTGGAGCTGAAGGCAAAATGGGGAGATATAAGGTCAAAATAATAACTGATACGCAGGATGAAGAAGTATAAAAATGTATTACATGAAGACCATATATAATAAAATTATACTGCATACAGAGTTCATGCTAAATGAATGGGCTGATAGCCACACTGACAATTGTGTGCCCATTTGCAAATGAGATCATTTACGTGTGGGACTTCTCCCTCAAAGGTTGACAAGTGGAAACTTAATAAAAAATTGAGGAGCAATAAATTCATGTTAAATGAATATAGAGATTTTAGATGTTGTCACAGAAGGAAAAATGTATGTGTATGTTGGATATATTCATGATTGTAACCATTTTACTATCTGTGAATGTTCTGTAATATGCTTTGTACCTTAATGCAAGGTATTAAGTATTATGGCATAATGGGTTAAGCTGCCACTTGTGATGCAAACATTCCATATCACGGTGCCAGTTTGAGTTCTGCTTCACCAATGCAGCTCCCTGCTAATGTGCCTATATAAACAGTTGAAGATGATGCAAGTGTTTGGGCCCCAGAACATCAATGGGGAAAACAGATGGAGTTTCAGGTTGCTAACCTGAGCCTGACCCACCCCTAGCTGTTGTGGCCATTCAGAGGATGAACCAGTGGTTGGAAGACTCTTTCTCTCTTATCCCTGTCACTCTACTTTTCAAATAAATAAATATTTAATTAAAAAAGAAAATCATGGAAAAATGGAATTCAAGGATGATTTTGGTATAAAATTGAAATTCATCCAGTTTTTCATACTATGAATTTCTGTGAGCTTTTATGTAGACCCCACATAAATACAACATTTATTACAAAACAGAAAACACACACAAACACACAAAAAATTAGATATCGATGTGAGGTGGTTTTCCTTTTTTTTTCTTCATTGTTGTTTTTCCCCCTTCTACTTAGAAGGCTTAGCCATGTCTGTTATTGTTTTACTTTGTTGGTTATGCCAATTTGAAATACTATAATGAGGTTAATATACAAATATTTTCACTTCCATTGACAGGCCTGAGCCATACTGTTGTGTTACACTGTTGGTTATAATGACTTCAAATATTAAATTGAAGTATTAATATATGGAGTCTTGGGACCATATAAATTAATAAAATTTGGAAGATTTTAAGGGTATATTTAGTGAGTATTTTGAGTCACCATGAACCTATGTAACATAAAAAACAAGCAAAAAGATAACTTTTCTATAGCAAAAAGATTGTTTTATGCCATCAAGAATTTCCTGTGAGGCAAAGTAAAGATACATGGATAAAGAAAGTGTATATATATTTCATGTTAGTTATTCATACATGCTTTGCACTGAATTAGAAGGATAATGGATAAGAAAAAAAGATGTGAACAACAATAATAGTAAGACACTGAAGATACCTTCTAACAAAGAGTTTGTATCTTCCCAGTTTCTAAATATTAAGAGGATACTTTAAGATGTCCAAAGTGAACAAAGATCATATTTATCTATGGAAGTCCATAAGCTGGTTGACAATATGGATGGAGAGGGGATGTTATATGAAAATAAGTGGACAAAAACAAGACATATAAGAGATGGGGGAATTTCATAACTAAAACTTCAGGTTTTTCAGTTTTCAGAAATAAGAGTTCAATTCCTAAATTTTGTTTGTATCCATGTAACCTTGCATTTCACTAGTCTTAGCCATAGGGAAAAAGAAATAAGAATTATTATTTACTTTGCAGAATTATAACGTAGATAAAATAATGAAAATGAAATAAACTTTGTAACCTATCATTAGGTTTCTTTTTATTAAAGATTTATTTATTTATTTGAAAGAGTTACAGAAAGAGGAGATGTAGAGGTAGAGCTAGAAGCAGAGGCAGAGGCAGAGGCAGACATAGACATAGACATAGACATAGACATAGACGTAGACGTAGACGTACACATAGATGTAGACGTAGACGTAGACATAGAGAAAGTAAGACAGAGAGGTCTTCCATCCAGTGGTTTACTCCACAGATGGATGCAACAGCTGGAGCTGTGCCGATCTGAAGCTAGGAGCCAGGAACTTCTTTGGGTATCCCACGCAGGTGGAGGAGTCCAAGGACTTGGGCCATCTTCTACTGCTTTTCCAGGCCATAGCAGAGAGCTGGATCAGAAGTGGAGCAGCCAGGACATGAACTGGCACCCATATGGGATGCTGGTGCTTCAGGCCAGGGCGTTAATGCACTGTGCCACAGTTTTGGCACCTACCTAGTTTCTTAAACACAGGCAACTGTTGTGACATAGTATTCCTTTAACATGCAGCATTGTTAATTATTCTTGAATAGAGTATATTGCTGCTGTTCTTCAAATAGAGACTTAAGCGGTAGCACAAATGTAAGATTAGTTAGGGAAGATAACTCTAGAAAGTCTCATTCTAATTTTTAAAATCTGTGGTGGCAGGATTAGCTGTAGTAACTACCTGACTTTGTTCAGAGGCAGCTTTGTCTCTTAGAAAGCAGAAAAAAAAAAAAAAACAGTAAATTCAGGCCCAATTTTGGTAAATTGAACAAGAAAATTTTACAATTTGGGACATGCTCAATCAGACTTGCCCTAAATGGTGGAGTTAGAAATGTGCCAGGGGGATTCCAATTCATTCCCTTCAAGACTGCATGTACCAATGCCATCTCACTAGTCTAAGTGATCAATTTCAGTTCACAATCAATCACACTGGTAGGTCTAAGAGTCAAAGGGATCACACAAACAAGACTAGTGTCTGTGAATACTAACAGATAGAATAAAAAAGGGAGAGAATGATCCAACATGGGAAGTGGGATACACAGCAGACTCATAGAATGGCAGATGTCCTAAACAGCACTCTGGCCTCAGAATCAGTCCTTAAGGCATTCGGATCTGTTCCAAGACACTCTGGAAAAAAAAAAGGGGGGGACCTAAATGAAAGATATCTGCGAGTGAGATCCCAGTAGAAAGAACGGGCCATCAAAGAAGGAGGTACTTTTCCCTGAAAGGAGGAGTGAACCTCCACTTTGACTATGACCTTGTCTAAGTAAGATCGATGTCTGTGAACTCAAAAGTTTCCACAGCGTTGGCAACTCATGACAAGAGCTTAGGGTGATTACTGATGCCATAAACAAGAGTGTCAATTTGTTAAGTCAACAACAGGAGTCACTGTGCACATACTCCTCATGTAGGATCTTTGTCCCTAATGTGTTGTTCAATGTGAATTAATGCTATAACTAGTTCTCAAACAGTATTTTACACTTTATGTTCTGTGTGGGTGCAAACTGTTGAAATCTTTACTTAATCTATACTAAATTGATCTTCTGTATATAAAGAGAATCGAAAATCAATCTTGATGTGAATGGAAGGGGAGAGGGAGTGGGAAAGGGCAGGATTGTGGGTGGGATGGAAGTGGAGGGGGGAGGCCATTGTAATCCATAAATTGTACTTTGGAAATTTATATTTGCTAAATAAAAGTTAAAAAAAAGAATCAGATGAGAAAGCAAGGAAAATGAATGAAAAACAGGCAAGACAGCCTATGGGATTTTTGGGAAACCATTAAGGAACATTTTTTATTATAGTAGTTTCAGAAGGAGAAGAAGGATTAAGAGGAATAGAAAGCTTGTTTCATACTTACTGAAAACTTCCCCAGTGTTGGGAGAGATATGAATGTTCTGATCCATGAAGCCCAGTCTCCATATGGATTCAATGAAAAGCAGTCCTCTACAGTTTGTCTAAAGTCAAAGAATATTTTAAAATAGAAAAAAAAAGTGTGTGTTGTGTGTGAAGGGTCATGTGAAAATCATCATTTAACATATAAGGAAGTCCCCAGTAGACAAGAGATTTCTCAACAGAAGCATTGCAGTCCAGGAAAGAATGGGGTGATATATTCAAAATCATCAAAGTAAAGACACTGCCAGTCAAGACTATTATACCTAGAAAAACTGTCCTTCAAAAATGAAGGAGAAATACAGTCTTTCCAAGTGAGGCAGTATCTGACTGAATTTATTACCATTAGACCTTTCTTCCAAGATATATTTGAGGGATTTATTTAAGTGGAAATGAAAGGATGTTAATTACTATGATGAATACATGTGGAACTCACTGGTACAAGTAATTACATAGTCAAATAATACTTACATACTATAACAGTGGTGTATAAGTCATACTTATCTCTAGGATAAAGCTAAAAAGTAAAACTGAACAACAATAACTAAAACATAAATATATTATGGATATACAATATAAAAAGATGTAAATTGTTAATATTAAAATCATAGCTTGTGGGAAGAGGTTAACAATTTTGAGGTTTTTATATATGGCAGAAGTTACCAGCTTAAATTACATTTTTCCTATAATTCTGTTCACATAAATTTTATGATGAGCACAAAGCAAAACAAAACACTGTAGCATATATGCAAACAATGCAGAGAAAGGAATCAAAATATACCACTGCAGAAGAATCAAATCACACATCTATAGTCAACAGAAGAGGAAGAAAGGAACAAATGAATCAAGAAACAATGAGTAAATAACAATGATAATAAGACCTCATCTATCAATAATAACCTTTCATGTAATGGGTTAAATTTTGTATTCAAAAGTCAGAGTTAATGAATGTATAATGAACAAGATCCAACTGCATTCTGTTAAGAAAACACCCACTTAGGCCTTAAGGATATGCATAGCCTGAAAGTAAAATAATGAATGAAGATAGACCTTGCAAATTATAGCCAAAAGAGAACAAACAAGGTTGGCTATATTTGATATCTATTAAAATAGACTTTAAATGAAAAATTATAGCAAGACAAAGAATGCCATTATATAGAGGTAAAGGGACTAATTCTGACCATTGAAAATGTTAATATGCTGAATGTTGGAGTACCTAATTCACAAAGCAAATGTTAATGGACATGAGGTACAAAATAACAATACAATAAAAGTAGGAGACTTCATTTTCCCACTATTGTCAGTGAATAGATAATCAGAAAATTAATAATAAACCACTTTAAATTAATTATACTTTATACCAAATGGGCTTAAGAGACAAGTACAAAACTCTGCATCATCAGAATACACATTTTTCTCCAGCATACATACAATATTTCCAAGGAGAGATCTTATGTTAGACCACAAAACTAGTTTTAAGGAATTTAGGATGATTGAAATTATACCTGTTATTGTTTCAGAATACAGTGTTATGAATCCAGAAATAATAACAGGAGAAACTTTTGAAAATACACAAATATGTGGAATTAAATAGCATGCACAGGGTGCTATGTGGTATATCAACACATGAGGATATCAGAGCACAACAATAGTTCAGGCTCTGTGAAGGCCAGAACCCAGGAATGACAAGGTACTATGGTGGGATCCTGGGTTTAGGGAGCAGTACGGTGACTCAAGTCCTAAGACAGGCAAGGTGACTTAGTAGCTAGGCCTGCAGGGATAGTCTAGTTCCAGGTAAGCAGCACACTGTTGGCTATCTGGTCTGGAGGGTCTGGTGGCACATCTCAGCAAAAACTCTTAATTCCCTAGGAATTGAGGCATCCCATTTGCTCAGCCACACAAAGCTCAAATGCATGGGTTAATAGGGCTTCTGGATCCCTGGAGTGAGGCACTATGTCAGCTGTGGTGCTAGGAGGTACACCTGCTCCAGTGTACCAGAGGCTCAGCATCCTGGGGAGTAAGGATGCTGCCTCAACTGTGGAATAAGGAAGGCAATGAGGGGATGTCTCTTATATACTGAATGCCTGAGGTCCCCAGGCGCAGGGCACTGCTTCAGCTGTGTTTCCAGGCAGTGTACCTGCTCCAGTGTGAAGGATCGCCGAGGTCGCTGGAGAGCAGAGTGTTATCTTGACTACTGTGTTGGGGAGGGAGGGATGACATTTCAAGGCCCTGTGTCCCCAGGAGTAGGCCACAATTTCATCTCAGCCATAAGTAGAGGATGCATCAGCAACTAAGCTGGAGATACAGCAACTCAGAGGCAGCTTGGTTTTAGGGGCAAAGGCAAAGCAGCAGCTCAGCTGCAGAATGGCACATCACTTGCTTAGGCATAAAAGAAAATAAATTGATTAACTAAAGGGCTATTTTAAGATGTAGTATCAGTATTCTAGAATACATGTGAATTAAATAAATTGTAGCTTTGTATTCAATACCCTTAATTAAACATTAAATTTAATTTTTATTCTTCCTATACTTCTTGCATATTGAATTTATTTCCATTACGAATCTTCTTCATCATTACTGGTCTCTACCATGTGGCTTATGTGGTTCCTTCTGTTTGAACATCCTTTCTTTTCTTAGTTCCTCTTTCTGTATATTCTAAACTCTAATAGCCACTAAAAAGTCTCCAACCTTTCAAAGTCTGCCTTTTCTTCAACCTAAGTTGAAGTAATCAAATTCTTCTCAAAATTTTCACAGTATGTTATTCTTAAAAATAATATATCCTATATTGTAAATGTTTAATAGTTATCAGTTACTACATTGTTATCAAGCTGGAGTCATTACTTGTGCCTGAATATTTTCTAATCCTCAGCAATTCTTGGAAAAATACCTTGTACATAGTGGGATTTTGAATGATGAAATATCAATTTCCAAAAATTATTTTATTTCAAAATATATTATTTTAGGACATTTTTCCATAGGCAGAAAAACCTGCTTCAAATTATAAAATTCTATAGGAATGACTTGAAGCATATTACATGTCCCACTGATTCATTTTCCCTGTCGATCAGGCTGTGTACAAATTATATCTAAACCTAGAAGAAACAAGGTAGTGAGCATTGCTGCACTGTCACAACGTACTGATTGAGAGAATACATTGAAGGCTTTGTAGCTTATTTGTGATAACAGGGTCCAAAGTTTTTTGTTTGTTTGTTTTGCTTTGTTTTGTTTTTAAAGTGGTCAATAATGCTCAGGATTTTGCCCTATTTTGCCTTTACAGATATTGTATGAACCAAAAGAATGATTCAGTCTTACTCAGTGTTTTCATATAGCTGGTCAGTCTAGTGTGGGAAATTTTTCAAGAGAGACAAGATGAAAGGGAAAGAGATGTAACTGAGGGTGAGCAAGTAAATTTTGATCCACAATTATTCAGATTCTGATTAACTGGTTAACAAATGATATATTACTATTCTTTGCCAGCCTGTTATGTTTAACCTATACATGGATGGACAATAGGAAAAATTAGTAAAGAGAAAACACTTATGTTTACTAGGAGGTAGGTAGGCACTAGGATAATTGTATCGGTTCTTTTATTCCACTCTAACAATGATTTGTGATATAGCCAGAATTATTACCACCTTTCTACTGAGGAAACTGATTTGGGGAGGGGCTGGAGTTGAAGTGCAGCTACAAGGGCAACAGCCAAGCCAAGGTTCACATTTCAGTCCCTTAGTCCTCCAACACTATGATCTCTTCAATGTATCATGCAAAATAAATGCAGATACTGACATTTTCTCAGGACTCCCTTTTCCTACTTCTTACATTCTTTAATTTGGCACCATTAATTTGTTACATAGCTATAAGTTCTAAACACAGAATAATTACATAATCAAAGGCTTAATCTTAGGTGACAGAATAAATAAAACTTTCACAAATAATTCCTCCTCTTGAGGAAATATAAAATTAAACCAAATGCAGCCAAAAGAGGCTTACAGTTTGGTTGTAGAGTCAGGTTCAATGATATTGAAAGAAAGCCAGGAGATGGGGATAAAGCTTCAAACTGGGGCAGCTTAAAGAAGACCAAATTCCTTAATCATCTCAGTAGGTTAGAGCTTTGCTATTGAGAAGAGTTAGAGGGTCACCCTACTGAGACCCTTTTCAAATATGTCTTTTCTCCCAGTTTCAGAACTCGCTTTGTAGAGATGTATGAATAAATCTTTGAACCCACACATTTTTTTCAGAATACAGAAAAGAACTCATTAGAAATTTAGATTTCAGAAATATGCAACATTGAAAAATAGATATTTTTTCTTAAAATACTATGCAGAGGCTTCCAGGAAGTCCTAATATGCATTTTACAAAGGGTAAGTACACTGGCATCCACACCATCAGAAATAGCTGGGTAAAGACAAAACTGTAAGTTAATTCCTAATTATTTGGTGCCCCTGTATGCACTCAGTGACCTTTATTGAATTTTCTGTCTTATTAATTGTATGCATATCTAGCAGGAGGTGGCAGGGTCAGTTTGTCAATGTCTTTTGTAGAAGTTCACTGTTCAGAGTTCTGCAGTAAACTTTTTAAATATACGAGTGCAGAAGACAGATGTTTGGACCTCATCTTTTGGTGTAATTCAAAGGCAAGTAAGTACACAAAAATATGCTCATTCACTGTAAATGACCTTTAGCATATATAGATATGAGTAATCATCTGCATGTACAGATGGCACATCTTATTTATTTAACACACTTCTCTGCTAACCACTTCATACATGCCAGTATTGTAGACAGCACAGACTTTGTTTTAATTACTCATCTGGCTTTCTTCTGCAAGCAAGGTAAGTTTCAATAATGAAGGGATCATGCTTTCTACCTATTACTGTGTATATCCAGTCATCACACACTTCAGGTGCAATGACTAGTTTGTATGCATTATAAAATAAATGAACAAAATGTTTTAGAGTCACTCTTGCATATCCACAATCACTTCAAATTTTGCCATTTTATAAATAAAGCTTTTTAATTTTCAATTTTAACCATGTTATCTCTTTGGTAACAAATGAGAGACTTTT